TCAGTTGAGGGTTGCGAACTTTCGAGCTGCCACAATAACCGGACTACACGCGAATTCTCCAGCTGATACCCGGCCCCCGGAAAATCACCGACTGTCTCGCGTACTGGACGCTCCCGGAGGCAATTACTGCCTCGGGCAGTCACGGCTGCCCCGCTATCACTGACTACTCATTACTAACTGCCCGGCGTCCGTCGTTTCTTCTTGTTTTATTGTGGTCGTACTTTCAACGCCGGTTCTAGTACCAAGGTCGTAGGTTCGCTGAGTTGCAGTTTTGGTATTATTGCTGCCTATTTGGGTCACGGATGTTTCGTGCTTCATATACGTTTAAACAATTATCAAACAATGCAATAACTAGGTCAATTGTTATACTTTGTATAATTTAAATGTATAAGTTAACTGTATTAATTATCCCTTATTTAATTTGGAATATATAATAATTATCTCGAATAATTATTATCTTTTCTATGCTACTTATTGTTCCATTATCCCTTTATTCCAACTTCTCACTCACTTGCTACGCTTACATTACAACTACACAAGTAATATAATTATTCTCCAGAGGCTAAGAAAAGACAAAGAAATTGTTAACACCACAAAAAGCAGAAAATTGGCTTACTTTGGCCACATCATGCATAATAATAAATACCGACTTCTGCAGTTGATTCTAAAAGGCAAGATTAAGAGTAGGAGAGGCTCTGGACGTAGACGTGTATCCTGGCTGACCAATCTAAGGAAGTGCACTGGTCTAACGTCAAGTGACCTATTTCGAGCTGCTATGAATAGAATAAGATGTGTCAATGTGGTCGCCAACATCTCTATAAGATAGGCAAATTTAGAAAAAGAAATATCTTAGTACATCTGTAAATCTCTATTGTGATACGGAATATAGCTTTTGCGTTATATCTGATTTACCACGCGTAGGGAAACATGTCCGGCTGTTTACTTAAACGGGTACAGGAATTTCACAAGGGGATAAAGTCAAATATCTAGGTATGTACTTGGACAGAAGATGAAACTGGAGGAATCATATATTTACTAAGCGAAAACAACTGGGTCATAAGTTAAGAACCATATATTGGCTGTTGGGCAAAAAATCAAAACTATCAACCGAAAATAAAATATTAATATACAAATCCATCCTAAAAACCAGTGTGGACTTATGGGATAGAATTATGGGGAACCGCCGCACATTCCAACATTGAAATAATACAAAGATTCCAGTCCAAAACATTGAGATCAATACTAGGAGTTCCATGGTTCATAACCAATGAAGCCATTCATCGGGATGCCGGACTATCATATGTCAAAGATGACATCAAAAAGTGCGCGAAAAAAACATAAAGAGAAACTTAAAGTGCGCCCAAACGTGTTAGCAAAAAGTTTAGTGAATAAACCGCGTACTGTTCGTAGGCTAAAACGAAAAGTTCCGTTAGAGTTAAGTGAACAATAGGTTCTAAATTAATGTGTACAAGTCTATGTCAGAAATAGTCAGTGTTGTAGGCTAAGTTTTTAAAAAAAGGGGTGCATCACTGGATGCCTCCCTTCATGTCATTCCAAATTATTGTCAGTCCTATTACTTATTGTCTATTATCTACCTAAATCTTTAGGTTTAGATTGTACAGATAGATTGTAATAAATGTGGGGTTAATAAAAAAAAATATCTGATTTTTTTTAGCTAAAGACCTGAAAAGCCCTGTGGACTCTTTAAATTATGCTTTTCCATCCTGATCTGAAATTTTGACACCTGTTATTATCACCCTTATTTATGACTACGTATTTTACTGTTGCGTTACAATCTACAAGAGATATCCATCAGGATCTTTAATGTAGTGGTTTTTTCCTTGCCTTCTTGTTATTATACTTTTACTTTATCCGCCTTAGAAAGTTGATTTTTTTTTGACTTTAGGACAAAAGATTGCCCTATCATGTACCAATTTATCTGCCTATGCATTTGTTTTAGTAAGTACAGGATTGCTAAGATTAATATAATATAATAACATCAAATAATAATAAATCAAAGTGTAACAATAAAGTTTAGCTTCTTCGGTCATCTTCAAACTGGAGACCATGAATATGTTGTACTAGCAAGAGTATCAAATAGCAAGCAATCAATTATTTGTCTAATTGAACCCATTTTTGTTATCAATAGTATTGAAAATATAATAGTACTATTTAATTGGACAAATCATTTATACTAACAATACGTAGCAGAAGATTTACAACATTTACAAAGAAATGGAAAGATATAAGAAAAGAGTATGAGTTAAACAGAGAATTTAGTGGATCTTAAGTCTGACTAAAGTGGACATATCCTTAGGAAATTAATTTAGAGGATAAAAGAGAGAAATATTTTAATTATTTGAGAAAAACTGCAAAAACCAAACTAAGTTAGTTACTCCTTTAGATTAAAAGTTATGGGATCCACCAGTTCCAGTGAAAATCGAAACGACTAAATATATTTACTTTTAAATTGAATCACTTGTTTCGAAAATGTAACAAATGGCACTTTTTGCCAAATACACTTGTTAACGCAATATTGCTCACAAATTGTTTCCACAGTATGTAGTTTGAGAACGTAACATAATATGTCATCTCGTCCCTGTTAAAAATAGACATTGAGTTTTAATTTAGTTAGAAAAGGTAACAAATATTGGCCATGTTACCTTTTCGAACTACTAAACCAACTAAATTGGTTTGGCAACGATCGGCTTTCGGCTAACGGTAAGGTATTGACCGTTGTTTATTGTAATACACTCAGTTATGTCGTCTAGTAGCGAAAGTGAAGATGAGATAATACGAAAAAAGAGAAAAGGTGTTGTGGATGCAGTCAACTAAAAACAAAATTTTATACGACATGCCCAGGTGAAAAAAAAGCTCATACAAATCATGTTGGAAAAGAAATTCCTCAGAGAAAGACAGGAGTAAACTGTGGGTAAGTAAAAATAGTATAGATTTTAGATTACAGAGTTTTAAATAGATTGTTTATTATTCTTAGCTGTCTAATGAAGTGTTGCCATATGTTCTCTTGTAAAACAAGGCGGAAATTATAGCCAACCTTAACCATCTTTTAAACAAAAATGAGTAGGATCTATATCTACAAGGACTCATAGACTCGAATCATTAGAAACCGTAGAAATCGTAAGGCATCCGTAGCATCAAGTAAGCATAAAAGTTATTCTTGTAAATACTATGTTTGTAATAATGGGCAGAGAAAAGAAGTATGCAAGAAAGCTTTTATTATTGATGATAGAAAACTATTAATGGCAACTACTTGCATCGAATTCATGAATTTGTTGATTCGTTACCTAGAAAAGTAGTCCACTACTCAAACAATGTTCAAGAAAAATACCTGTCTGTTTCATTAAACATTAAAATTATTCATAAAATTTTTCTGGAGAAGAATCCGGATATCACCGATAAAATCATAAAATATATCTACTTCTATTCCTATTTTAAAGAAAATTTCGATCTTACGTTTGGCCGTGAAAATTTAAAAACAAATATAGCAGATCCATTTTTAAATGAAAATACTGTTGCTGTAGCTGAGCTTCTGGTGCATAAAAGAAGACCAAAGAAATTCTACGCAAAAATAGATGAAATAAGCATAATGTATAGAGAAAGGGAGGATGTAATGGCAATAACAATCAACTACATGCAGTATCTTCCCCATATTCTTGTGCAAGAGGTATTTTACTAAAAGTAGCAATGGATTTATGAATTTTGTATTCATAATATGAAGAACAACAAAGCCTTTATTTATTCATACCAAGAAGAAGAATAATTGAAAGGTCCAAATGAAGTATATGCATTTTTGCTCAATTTCATTGAAGAACACGTACCCTTAACGGTAACTAAATTGTTACCTTAATATTTATGTTAATTATGTTAATCTTTTCTCAAACGAAGGCCCCGGCCAAAATAAAAACAATACCGTAGTGCGATTTTTGTTAAACGCTAACATCAAGTGGTCGGTTTCAAAATATCACACATTACTTTCCAATGAGGGGACATTCTTTTAATGAATGTGATCGAGATTTTGGAATTGTATGGAAAAGAAAACTACAAAGACATGATAGAATATACTCTTATGATAAATATATCTCTCTCATTAAAACTTCTTCAAAAAGTAAAAAAAAAATAGTGTTCACAAAGTCGTTGGTTCGAAAGTAATCGACTTTAAAAAATGGTGGCCACAACACTATAAGAAGCAAGTTTTGTCAATATCAAGCTATGGCAAAAAATTGCCACTGATAAAAAAGTTTCCTTTTAAGCAATTTCTATGAGTTTCGATATTCTATGGAAACTTCTAGCAAAGTAACTGCACTTCCATTTATTGATGGAATAATCCAGAAGTGTTTTGGGTTAGTCAAAATACAAGAAAGCAGAGTTAATTTTCCTGATTGCGTTGAAAAAATTGAAGACTTAAAGAAACTATTGGTGTACATTCCAGTAGAAAAAAAGTAATGTAGGTCCCAGATTGTCATATGGTCTACAACAGAGCAAGCAGAAGAGGATATCTAATTAGTGTATAGATTATTAGTTGTATTTTCAAAATTATTTTTTTTTTTTCATATTATTTGAATTAAACTGAAATAAAATATTGTTTGGTCCATTTTTTCTTGGACTCACACACATTTGTTTCGAAAGGGTAACATATGCAAAATATTTACACAAATATTTTATTGGGATAATGTACTTTAAGCAATTGACATTGTGCAAACAACACATCCACTATCAACTCATATATTTGAAAGATTTTTGTAACTACATCATTTTTGAAGAAAATCAGTTTTTTTGTCTTCCTGTAAACTTTGCACTTAAACTTTTGCCAATAAGTGATCAAATTAAAATTGTGGCATATTCTTAATAAAAAGAATAAATTGTATTAAGATGTCTTAAGAAAATAGCTGCAGAAAAATTATATATTTCTTAATTTTCAAATTATTTTTAAATTTTTCATGGATCAAGAATACTTGTCAATACATAAATATTTTACTTACCCCTTCACTGTCGGAAATGTCTTCAATAGTGAATATTTTCTCACGATTTTCAGATGGCGGGTTATTTAAATTGAATTCATCTCTTTCCGAGTTTTCCGGTAATGTAGCATTTTGTGGCATGTTGTTAACAAGCCACAATTAAATTTATCAAAATAAAACTGGCGGCACTGATATTTCTGTATGTTATATCCTAATAAAATTTCACAAAACTAAATGATCTTGGAAAGCTACTGATTTCACAAAACGAAAATATCGATAACGATATAAATTTATTGAGGGATTTAATTTAAGTAATTAATAAGCAATTTATAAGTTATCAGAGAGCAATAAACAAAGGGTATTACTTATAATTATTGGCTGATTTACTGCATTCAAGTATATCTGTGTTTGCTAACAATGGCGTTAGTATTTTTTGCCAAATATTTGTTTGTATAATTTATTGTTTTATCTGAGTACGATTAATTTAGTCAGTAAATTGTTGTATTGTTATTTAATGTCAGGAATCATAAATTTTAGCTAAGATAGACAAGTTTTTTACTCGTTATTATTTTTTTATGTTTAAATTCCAGAAATATTTGTGTATTAAAAATACTTTAGATGATAGCTAGAAAGAAATACATACACTTATCTGACAAAATTAATCAAACCGAGAAACACTTTTAAATAAATTTGTAAGTAATCCGCAAACTAGTCATTAAAATTATTATATCCTGTTTTAAATGTTCTTTAAATCTAATGTTTATCTGTAATTTCATAAATTCTAGACTCAGCGGTCAGAAGCACTTAAGTCATTTGTTTATGAAAAATACATAATTTCTTAAACTAACCAAATTTGTGTAAGACACCAACTGGAATAAACAGTTAAGTCATATACCGCCATGGACGTATAAATAAAGACCTACTTAAGATCTACTTAAGTACTTTTACTCAGTCATAACAAATACAGCGAATTCGATGTGAAACACTTGACTACAAGACACTTGACTTTCGGGTGAATCTTCATTTTAAAACCATTTTCAATTATTAGTTCTGATAAAGTTGACGGCCCGATCCTGATAGGTTGTGATGGTGATAGTTTTATTAGTCTGAAATTTATTTCTGTTAAGGCTTATCCTCGAAAATTGTAACGGTAAAATTCAGAGAGATATCTATTTCAAAATATCTTTCTTTACAAAAACAAAATCCATTCACGAAGAATATTCTAAACGTCATCTTGTACTAGAGGTTAGCTTTATACCTACCTTATAAACCCCCCCATTGTGTAAAGTCTTGGGTCTATACAATAAATAAATGGGCGGCTTTCTATTCAGTGCGGTTTTGAAATAATGTTGAATAAAAACATTCAATAAATTAAAATGAAAGAATTTACGTCTATTAGTAGAAGTGCGATTTATAAAATTAGTACTTGAAGCATAAATTGCGGGAGGAATATGTGCATCAGTTTTCAAATATTTATTATTTACTATATAATTTCTAAATTAAACCACTTTCACTTCTTCAGTTAACAATGTATCTGTTTTGACAACTAAATAGGTAATTAGACAAAATAATTATTAATTTCAAAACAGGAGTTTAAAGAATTAGAAAGAGGTAGCCCGGGCCCAGTTAAATGGTCAAGCTTATTCCAGTGGAAGCAATAAGGAGTATTATTTATTATAGGAGAGGATTATTTTTCATTTTGGCACAGCTGACATGCTCTCTCTAGCACTACAACCCATGAAACTGTGGTAAAAAGCATGCTTTATTTATACGGTTGTGAAACACGACGATTAACAGAGACAGATTAATATCGAAGAAAGATATCTCGTCGAACTTAATGCAATAAAGTATGAGAATAGAAGGTACAGTCATGGATGGCATACAACGAAAGCAGCTGAAATGGGTACAGGTCCAATAAATTAAAGACAGTAGACTCCTAAAACAAGTACCTGTATGAACGCCTACCGTAATCCAGAAGAGAGGATTACCTTAGAAAACACGGATAATATTATAGGTACATTTTTTGGACTAAAAATAAATATGGACTAAAAATAATTTGGACTAATAAATAAATTTGAAGAAAACCAAGTTCATGGTATTTACAAAAGCACAAAGCATCAAAGTTAAGCTAGTACTAGATAATACAGAAATTAAACAAATATCTTTGTACAAATACCTTGGAGCATTGATCACAGAAGATACTGATTAGACAAAAGAAATAAGATGCCGCATTGGAATTGCACGGTCAACTTTTAATAGAATGAGAAAACTTTTTTGTAATCGAGATATCAATATATCGCTCCGGATAAGAATGCTTTGATGTTATATTTTCTTTACCCTTTTATATGGGATTCAAGCTTGGTCACTTAAAAAATCCAACATTAAAAACTAGAAGCATTCGAAATGTGGTGCTACCGACGTGTTTTGCAAATATCATGGATGGATCGCAAAACAACCGAACAAGTTCTCGAACAACTAGGAAAACAATGCGAAGTTTTAAATTCCATAAAAATCAGGAAATTAGAATACTTGGTGCACATCATATATCACACATCAAGACGTAAAATCTAGTAGTTACTCAATCTCCGTGAATGGTTTGGATGCAATTCAACTGAACTATTTAGGCACATATCCAACAAAATGATAATTGCCAGAATGATTTCCAATCTCCGACAGGAGTGGAACTTGAAGAAGAAGAATAAGTACATTATTATTATATCATATATATATATATATATATATATATATATATATATATATATATATATTTATATAATATATGATATACATGATATTGAAAGAGGTTACAACATAGACAATCAACAAAATCTACATCGACAACTACACAGTGAACACCCCAACAATAATAGAAGTGTCAAATGCCGTCCTAAAACTCAAAGATAATAAAGCCATAGGAATCGATTAAATCTGTTGGAAAATATATAAAAAAGGTGATGATCAACTTTTTGCAGTAACCCATAAACTAATAGTACTTATATGGCAAAATGAATTTGTACCAGAAGAGTGGCTAAATGAAATAATATACGTTGCATAAAAAGGACGATTAACTGGATTGTAAGAACTATAGAGGCATTACTCTGTTAGTATCTTCACCTGTTAGCACCCTGCTTGGCAGGGTCACATATCAGATCAATTTACGGCTGCAAAAGGCTTGAGACTGGGAGATCCTTTATTCACTACATTATTCAACTTAGTATTAGAAACTATAATCAGAAAATGCAGCATGAGGATGGAGAGAACGATCATGAAAAATGAGCACCAGTGCTTGGCATTTGCTGATGATCTAACGATCCTAGCAAAAACCGAGTAAGAATTAAGAAGAGTTGTGAAGAAAATCATCGAAGAAGCACAGAAATTTGGATTGGAACTAAATGAAGACAAAACTAAATATATGATCATGGAAGGAACAGAAGGGAAAAAAGAAGACTTTAGTGTGAGGTCAGTAAGTGGTAAAAGCTATAGTTTTAAAAGGGTGGACAAATTTGAATACCTAGGTGTAGTTTTCGATGATAATGGAAAAGAGAAATGGGAGCTCGTAGCCAGAATAGCAAAAGTGAATAGAAAATTAGGTGGTTTAAGAGCCCTACTGAACTCAAAATACGTTTCTAGACAAGGTAAACTCAGAATATATAAAACAGTAATTCGACCCACAGTAACATATGCCGGTGAGCCTAGACATTAAATAGGAAGAAAGAGGAAGAGGATGGGAAAGGAAAATATTGAGACGCATATTCAGAGGACGGAAGGCAGAAGATGGTTGGGAGAAAAGAACCAACAATTAATTAATGGCTTTATACAAAGAACCTACTATTACCAAGTTCGTCAAGGCACAAAGAATCAGATGGTTGGGACATGTGGAAAGAATGGCAGCAAACAGAATTCCTAAACTAGTAATAACCAGAAAATTAATTGGCCCCCAAAAAAGAGGTAGACTCAGAACGAGGTGGATTAGTAAAGCGGAGGAAGACTTTAAACACGTGAAGTGAGGGAATGGAAAAAAAGCACAAAATAGAAGCGAATGGAAAAATATTGTACACCAGGTCCTTCAGAGTAGTTAAGAATGTTATATATACATATTTAAGTTAAAATTTTGTTTAAAATAATTGTAATTAGTTAATATTAGACTTATGTTGTAAAAAAAATGCTCTAGGCCTTAACGGCCATATTTCTGCAATTTATTTAATGCAATGGATTTAAATAGTGAATTTACAATTCCTAGAGGTAGACAGATATTGAAGCTAGTTTCACAAACACTAGTTTCAGATACACCTGAACCTGGTATGTATTATTTTTGTTGACAATATTTTTTTCATCTATGGTGCAGTGAATTGTTAAAAATTTGAAAACTTCTAGATGTGTTTCATTGGTGTAGAAATGGTAAAGTAAAGGGAAAACAATGTACCTATAATTAAAAAACCGTTTTAAAGGATGAAGTTGATTTTGATTACAATAATATTAATTTATTTGGATTATGGACATTATTCTTAGAATTTACGTACCAAAGATAAGAGGGGTGCTTTTATGCTTCTACAAATTTATATCATTTAAATGTATCACTTGTATTTTAATGAATGGTTATGAAATGTTTTAAAAAATTCAGTAGATGATTTTGTAAAGGAAAATATTATAAATCCTTTAAATTGACTATCAGGATTAAAAAATGTATCTAACTATTAGAAAATCCCTGGTGCAAGCGTAAATGGCACATATTTTAATTTGTTTTTGATACCTGCCTAATTGAGTTTTCGATTCTTATAGTAAATCAGGAAGACTTAGTAGCAGAACCTGAGCCAAGTACATCGGGTAGCCAGAAATCGTATATTCCAAAAAAAAAACTTTAAATAAGTGATTACACAAGTGACGATTCTGTTACTGACCCTACATTTGTACCTGAAAGTTCTAATCGTGTTCTAGAGCATACACGATTGGAAGTTAATGACGTGCATAATCCTCCTGAAATTTCTTCTTCCGATGATATTACACAACCAGTTACAGTTACAGAAAACAGAAAGAGAAAACGGGAAAGAAAAACTAAAAGAAATTTTGATCAGAAATATGTGACTGCAACAGGTAAAACTATAGAAAAACATATCATGAAGCTCCTGACCAACTGTCGTAACAAATGTCATGAAAAAGTAAGTGAATAACAAAGACAACAAATATTTGCAGATTTTGGGAACTTGGGTCATATGATCTTAGGGCAATGTTCGT